AACACTTATATGTAAACCACTGTGAAACACTAGTAGATAACAGCTGTGTATCACTGTTTATTAACTACTGAGTGTCACTACTATTTCTAGATTTTGACACATAAATCTTTCTAAAGTAACTTACAATACCTCTCCCACTTAGAAACCAATTAGCTTTATTAATAATAACAGCAACTACCTGAGCCACAGTTGTTCTCTAGTAATTACTCGTGTGACTGGTGAATAAGACACATGTGTAAAACCTAGGCATCTATATTTTAAGGAGAATTTCCCCAGCCGAAATTGTTATATACGAAGAATTAAAATGAGGATTTTTGGGAATTTCCTGTCTTATTACGCTTAACACTATGATACAGGACACGGGGAGTTTGAGTATCTCTTAAGTTCTGGCTCTGTTACTCTCATAACGCCAAGATACAGTAGCCAGATATCCACTGGAATACACCTTAACTACGCCTGCGTGACCACTAACTACCACTACTAATGTTACTGTTACTTGGTCGAACGTAAATACGCCACTATTTACACCTCACTAGTTCCCCTGTATTAGTCACCTTTCTACTGTTTATCTGTTATAATTATGAAGCCACAAGTGTGTGAAAAGTTACCCAGGGGTTGCAAATGTGTCTTATTCACCATCTTGTCTTTATTACATACTTTTGATCTAGTTAAACTTGAGAAACTGTTCTACCTGTGAGTTATCCAGCAGCTGAGTCATCATTTCTATATTTTTCATTGCCACGTGTCTTGATAGAATCAACTCATTTTTATTATGTTTTGACTGTTCTTGATTAAGATATTTCAAAGTAATTGTAGCATATTATGTATATTTTAAAACATGAATAGTGAATGACTTCGTCCATTCTAACTTTATCGGAAATAAGTGTCGTCATTAAATTATGTATTCGCCTTTCCTTCATGACATTTAGTGTATTTAAATCCCTTAATTCATCAAACCATTAATCTGTCAAGGCAAAAATCCATCATTATTTAACTCCTGCAGCGTTAGACCACTTTGTCGTCAGATTACAAAATCTAAACACTGAACTGACATGTCGCTAATGGAGTAATTTTTTTTTTTTTTTTTTTTTTGGGGGGGGGGGGGGGTCTGATAGTCATGTCAGAAATAAACTCGGAATTTACTTCTGGCCAAATTTTTTATTTTAAATGACGCAATTATCCCCACTTATAAATTTAAATATTTTTATATGAAAGACTTTCTGTAGAGTAAATTTACATTATTCAGGTCGACATGACCACAGTTGTCTGTCCTCAGTGCAGACGCCACTCACGTTATTTTTATTATTCCCGGGGTGGATCGCTAATCCAGCGGGAGGCCTCGGATCCCTAATCCAGCGGGAAGCCTCGGATCGTCAATCCAGCGGGAGGCCTCTTTCATAAGGCCCCAAACTCCACTGATCTGTCATGATTTAAATCCACCTAAGGAGAAATTTTCCCATTTCTCCAGACGAATTAAATACCCCCCTTCCCCATTCACACCAGTTCTGTAATAAATCGAAGCTTAAACTAAGAGATGGTGACAATCAAGTGGTTTAGCGTTGCTTCAGATACTCTTATTTTTACGTCATGTTCCTAAACATGTTCACATACATACGATCACACATACGCACACGCACATCGAAGACATATATACACACATACTCTGTATTGACATATACACACTGTTGACATACACATTCACTAACACTAAACATTTTGTGCTGATGATCCCCAGGTGCTTATATAACATAAAAAAATAATGACATATTTTCGCGCATAATCCAAGTACCAAGTCATAATATTTGGTTGCATACCTGAAATAAGGTGATCCCAGTGACAGTTACTCAAGAACTTTCACTCTCAAGATACCTTTGAAATTTTAAGTCAGGGAAACAGAGGATCACAACAGCACTGATAATTTACCTCAAGGATAGTGATGCCTCCTGCAGGAGCTCTGAGAATCATCAGCACACGTTAACGAACGTCTTTCTGGAAGCAACTAATTTTTCTATATCGTTTTTTTCCTTGCAGCCATAGATGACCCACCTGAAAGGTAAGGATGGAGTTGAGGGTCCCAAAATAAACAAGATCCGAGTAGTTTAATATAGCTAATACGATGGCTGACTGTTTTGTGTTGGTGTTGTCAGCTGAGTCGGCCAGACTTCAAGCCGCCTGGAGAAGCAAGGTTGGAGGATGGGACGCCAGCCCTGCGGCACCAGGGTTGTGAGGGTGTAGGGACGGCGGGAGGAATAGTGACACCGGCGGCTACACATGCAGTAACGTAAAATAAAATAATTATTTTCACATGATAATTTCCTTTGGGGTTGAAAAAAGATGTTGAGGTAGCCTACTACCAGTTTTTGGTAGTGTAGTGTTGACTGGTGTGAGGCCATACGCCTCCAGCCACAGAAGGCCTCCATCTTCCAGCACTGCTTCCTCCGCACTACTTACCTCTCACCTCATCTGTTTGGCTTTACCTCTCTCTTCCTCTCTCTTGCAGCAAACGAACAACCTACAGATTTAAAGTAAGTTAATTCGTGTTTGTTTTAATATTTATCTTTATAACAGATGCCATTAATATGCTTTATTAAGTGCCAAAATATTGTTTAATTTATGACTTCACTAAGTAACATTTTGACTTAACGTAAGGTATTTTTTTACTCAGGTTTATGTATTTTATGTATCGTCTTTGTTTTTGTGTGAACGATACACCAGTGAATAGCTGATCTATTATCTATATTACGCGAATTCATTAGATTCATTAATAAATAACAAAAAGGCACAATACCGTGACTGGAACGATACACAAATACCCGCACATAAAAGAGAGAAGCTTACGACGACGTCGTCGTAAGCTTCTCTCTTTTATGTGCGGGTATTTGTGTATGAATTAGATTCATTGTACGATTTAGGAGATATTGCCATGGAAACCAATATAATGCTCTATATTTTTCTTCCAGACAGCAATTTTTCCTCTTTGTCATATTCACGAATTTCATAATTTTTTTTAGCTCAGGAAAATCATCATTTAGAATAATTTAGAACACCAGTTCTCTTGCTTAAAAAAATTTATTGGATATTTAAAACAGCTTCATTTGAAGTTGTTATAATATTTTCACAAATTTCAATCGTTCCTCCCATCAAAAATCCTCCGGGTTTAGCGCTTCCCGCTTGATTATAATAATAATAATAAAACTCCCATCAAAGTTCGCAGGATGCGAAGGCGCATTTAAATCCTACATTGTAGTAACAGATGCACTTAAATAACTGATTTCAATTCGTTAGGATTTCGTAAAAATCTTGTAAGGGGATACTTTTTTTTTTTTTTTTTTGGACAAAACGATCCAAAACTTGCTACAAGCTGACATGATGTCAAGATATTCTATGCCAGTATCGTGACGTCTTATGTTTGAGGTCAATTACTGGTTTATATCGCATGGTTATGTTTGTGATAAGGACTAGTCACATCAGTTGGAGAATTGGGGCGTTGCACACACACACACACACACACACACATACACGGGGCCAGGAGCTGTGACCTGACCCCTGCAACCACAATTAGGTAACTACATAAGTGTAACACCGACTTTCCACGTCCGGTGTATCGCTAATCTCAAAATCGCACTAAGATAAAAGAAAAATCTACATTCTTCAATAGGACTCCATTTTCTCTCGTAATAATTCTTATGGATCTGTGGTGAGGGGCTCTTGATATAAGAATCTACGTTCCTGGGATCGAACCTAAGTGCTGCCATTCTGCAAGCGCTTTATAACCCCTACGGGTGGAGAGAAAATACAGCAGGAAGACAAATTAATTGCAGGAATTGTAAGGAAAGTGAATACATAAAAATGAGAGAAAGAAGAGAGAAGAGAAGAGAGAGAGTTATAGAGAGAGAGAGAGAGAGAAGAGAGAGAGACGAGGAGATGAGATGAGCAGAGAGACAGACGCAGACAGAGAGCAGAATGACGAGAGACGAGAAGGAGAGAGAGAGAGAGAGAGAGCAGACGGAGAGAGAGAGATGATCACTAATAATAAACATAATGATTGCTATTCCCTGTACAGCCACTGAGAAAAAACAAAATACATGAAATAAACGGTGTTGTTGTGTTTAAGTTGACACTTCTGGAGGAAGAATGTAGTAACATGAAGGAAAGACCGCTGTACCCGGGGAGGATACACTGTGGTTCATCAAAGTGGCATTGCTGGTGCTAGGAATGGTGCGTGGCACTGGCCTTCTGGGAAGGCAGTGGGAGGATGTGAGACACAAGGGGGTGACGGGGTCTGGCATACACGGCACACCGTGCTAAATCTGGTTCCTCGGTAGCCCATTTATGAGGGAGGAGGAGAAAACGATGGGGAAGATAGAAGAGAAAAGGGCAGGCTTAAAAATGAGAGGAATATCAAGAATAGCATGTTTGAGAGCTCAGGCCTAAATAAAGGATATGTTAGGCTTAGAATGAGAGAGAGAGATTCGGCTTAGAACTAGGGAGAGATTAGACTTAAATTGAGCTACAGATCAGGTTTAGAATGAAGGAGACATCAGGCTAAGAATGAGGGAGAAGTTCAGGCTTACAGTAAAAAGATGAGAGAGACTAGAGTGAGGTAGAGAAAGTAAGAGGAAATAGTGACTAATGATGAAGGAACAACAACAAAAGAACATCAACAACTAACCTAACAAAGTTTGGAAACAGAGAAACAAATATACACTTAATACTATAAATATATTAAATATATATATATATAATATATAATATATAATATATATATTATATATATAAATATATATATATAATATAAATATAAATAATATATATATATATATATATATATATATATATATATATAATATATAATATATATATATATATATATATAATACATATATATAATATAATATATATATATATATATATATATATATATATATATATAATATATATATAATATATATATACATATATATATATATATATATATATATAATCAGTCAGTCTTGTGAAGTGTAAGTCTGGGAAACATGTAGAGAAGGAAGAGGCTGAGAGGAACGAGGAGGGAGCAGGAAGGGCATCTGACTGTCAACGCGTGGAACTGTCAGTGCGCTGTTAGTTGTAAAAATTCCTATGTCTGTGTCTCAGTTTATTTATTTCTCTTGGCTCTGACTGTGCGTCTGAGTTAGTCTATTTCTCTCTCTCTCTCTCTCTTCTCTCTCTCTCTCTCATAAAATTTTGTAGAGATAATGGTAGCAGAGAATGGTAGTGCTGATTGCAGTAGTGAACAGTTATACTGAAAGACGGTTGCAGTGGGTTGCTATATTGGTGTTGGTATCAAGGAATGGTACTATATCTTGTGAAAGTAGGAAGATATGTCGATGATGGTAGCAGGACAATGGTCGTGTGGATGGTCGTAGTGAGTAGGTATGTTATTGATGGTAGCATGGGATGATAGCGTGGATGGTGACAGTATCGGGCCCTTGCTCGGACAAGATGGGACTTAAACAGATGACAACCAAGAAATGATTGAGATACTAAAATTCCAATACGACTCTGTGTCTAGTGAGCCACTAATGAGTCTAAAGATCGACAGTCCAAATGATTATTTCACGAATGAGCCTCAAAACTCCATTACTGTATGCAAAATTTCTGACATTAACACTGGTGACATTCCACAGATCACTAAAAACAACGGATATAACCTCACTCCATAAAGGTGGAAGCAAAGCATTAGCTAAGAACTATAGACCAATAACTCTAACGTTCCACATCATAAAAGTCTTTGAAGTAGTGCTAAAAAGCCTGATCGAAAGCCAGTTGGACTCCCAAAAACTGCACAATCCAGGGCAACATGGGTGCAGAGCGGGTTGCTCGTGCCTCAAACACATACTGGATCACTATGATATGGTCTTGGATGCATTTGATGAAAATACAGACTTTGCAAGAGCCTTTGACAAGTGCGATCATGCTGTAATAGCGAACAATTGCGTGCTAAAGGGATACCTGGCAAAGTGGGCAGATGGATCTTCAACTTTCTAACTAACTTAACACAAAGAGTAGTGGTAATTAGAGTTAAATCGGAATCTGCCATTGTGAAAATCTCTGTTCCACACGGTACAGTACTCGCTCCCATCCCGTTCCTCATCCTCATATCAGACATAGAGAGAAATGTAATCCACAGCACCGTGTCATCCTTTGCAGACGATACTAGGATCTGCATGATACTGTTATCTGTTGAGGACGCGGTTAACCTCCAAGAAGATATAAACCAAGTTTTCCTATGGGCAACAGAAAACAATATGATATTTAATGAAGACAAATTCCAACTACTCCGTTATGGAAAACTGAAGGAGATAATTATTAGAACTGAGTATACTACAAACTCTATTTATATAATAGAGCGAAAAAATAATGTGAGGGAGCTGGGAGTGGCAATGTCTAAGGATCTCACTTTCAAGGATCACACATTGCCACGATCACAGCTGCGAAGAAAATGATAGGATGGATAATGAGAACGTTCAAAACAAGAGATGCCCAGCCACTGATGATCCTTTTCAAATCACTTGTTCACTCTAGGCTGGAATACTGCTGTACATTAACATCTCCGTTCAAAGCAAGTTAAATTGCAGATCTTGAAAGTGTACAGAGAACCTTTACTACCTGGAGGTTACCTGGAGGTTATTCCGGGGATCAACGCCCCCGCGGCCCGGTCCATGACCAGGCCTCCCGATGGATCAGGGCCTGATCAACTAGGCTGTTACTGCTGGCCGCACGCAGTCCAACGTACGAACCACAGCCCGGCTGATCCGGCACTGACTTTAGGTATCTGTCCAGCTCTCTCTTGAAGGCAGCCGTATAAGTTCCATCAAACACCTTAACTACTGGGAACGATTGGAAGCACTTGACTTGTACTCACTGGAACTCAGACGAGAGGTATATATCATAGTCTACACTTGGAAAATCCTAGACTCTGCACACAGAAATCACTCTCTATGAAAGTAAAAGACAGGGCAGGGAGTGCAAAATACCCCCAATGAAAAGTAGGGGAGCCATTAGGGGAGCCAAGAGAAATCACAATAAGTGTCCAGAGAACAAGACTGTTCAGCAGCCTTCCACCAGGCATAAGGGGAATCACCAATAGACCCCTGGCTACCTTCAAGAGGGAGCTGGACAGACACTTAAAGTTGGTGCCGGATCAACCGGGCTGTGGCTTGTACGTTTGACTACGTGTGGCCAGCAGTAACAGGCTGGTTGGTCAGGCCCTGGTCCACCGGGAGGCCTGGTCGTGGACCGGGCCACGGGGGCGTTGATCCCCGGAATACCCTCCAGGTAGACTCTAGGCAGGTAGATAGTTCGTAGTTAAGTTAACGGTAGCAGGGAATTGTGTTGTTTGTAGTAGCCAGTGGTGATGCTGCTGGTAGTAGACAGGATCTGTAGTCCAAATTGCGGTAGTGGGTAGTAATACTGATGTAGTAGCAGTAAATGGTAGGTTGCAATGACGTATTGGGTAGTTAAGTTCGTGATGCTAGAGTGG